CATGAGCTGATGTGGTCTTTGGTGTGAACTTGGGCTTGCGAGTTCCCTGAGATCTTTGCGCTTAAAGACTGCCGAGTGTGTAGGGCTGGCTGCGCGTTCGTTGTCTTCCAGAAGGGCACTTGGTAATGCTGACCCTGCCTTGACATTGCTGTGAGCATAATAAACACATTAACAAGGGTAAAACAGATATTCTGGGTAACAGCAACGTGGCTCTGTCACCTGGGTAGGTGGTGGGCAGGAGATCTGTGTCAGCCCTGATGATCCTGTGGCTGATCCAAAGACTGTGTGGAGGCCCTCGTAGTATTTGATCACGACGGCTCAACGTGCGGTGGCTAGCATCCTCAAGCAGATCAGCGTGACGATGGTGGGGTAGTCTGGCAGGTTTTTCTCTGGTGTTTCATGGCAGCGTAGCTGCACTCTTCTTCCTTTGTGGCTTTCACATGTTAACAACTTGTGGGCGACGGTTTTAATCTTGAGCAAGAAGCTGCAGGCTTTAAACAGAAGCATCTCTTCTTCTGAATCACTTTGTAAGGAAATGAATAGCAGTAATGGTTCCCATGTTTCAGTGGCATGCCACTTAAAATTTGGAATACCTAACACCTCTTCCAAAATTAACCGCAACTAGGATCAAGGTGCACACCAATATATAAATAATATAGCAACAGTCTATGAGCAACCGTGGGTGTGGCTTCCATATATGATTCAGAACAAATAATGAGCTGTGTGGATGAAAATAGGCATTTGGGAGGGGATTATGCAAGGCATGAGTTATGATGCAGGATGGGTGGGGGCAACATCTCTTTCAGCTTACAAATGCTAATCACGAGCTCAGCAGCCAGGAATCTCTGCAGTGCTACTTAACAAATATTAATAAGTATAATTAAACATTGTGTGCTAGATTTTCAGTGCCAAGGAGCTGTAAGAAACAGAAAACTTGCTCTGTGTTTTCAGTTCTAAATTAATACAACCTCCTTTGGAAAACAAGCTATCAAGGAAAGAAAAATTAGGCTACTTAAAAAAAAATAAAATTAAAAAGCTTACCCCACTAACACTTGGCACACACAGAAAGTCAATAGGTTACCTAACTGCACAGACTCCACAAGCTGATAAAATTATGCTGCTTGTTGCCTCCATCTCAGATTTCCTTCTTGACAGTATTTTAGAGAGTATGTATTTATTGTACGGCTTGTAATACTATTAAAAGTGTTTATGAAGGCCACAGTCTGTAATCATGAGTTTGAAGGGTGGGAGTTCCACCGTGACTGATCTGGTCATCACCTTAACCCTGAATTCCTGACAAGACTGTTTGAAAACCATCAGCAACTACTCCCTGCTGTAATGACTGCCCTTGCAGAACTGGTGTCTTTGTCCCGGACTATCTGGATGCTCCCCTTTATTGTGCCAAACCTGACACTTCACTCACGCTGTTGGAAAACGAAACCACGGCTGCAGAGGAGGAAATGTAACCTCAGCAAGAGCTCTTCTGCAGTTTCAGTGCAGTAGCAATTGTGCCTGTTACAGTCTGGGAGTGAATGGAAAACTAAGAGCAACGATCAGTAATTTTAAATGACCGCAGAATTTAATTATGTTGTCGATCAGCATGCTTCCAAATCAGGTTTATTTTCTGTTTCGATCTCTGTCTTATGATGCAAGACATACTGACAATCGAGAGGTTTTTAAATGACCTCTCACTCAGCTGCACCTTCTTTCCTGACATTGTGTGTTTAAGAGCAGGTTAACATGGTGGAGAAATTAAGCGAATGGGTTTTTGAAGTCTCCAGGTACTAATGCAGCCTCTTCCTTTCAGGAAAAGGTACATTGAGGCAAACATCCTGTCCTTCAGACTCTGCTCCTCTGGGTTGATTTTGCTGGGCTGAAACTCACCAAGTGGGGGGCGTTTCGCCACCATCGCAGCAGTGGAGCAGCGCTAGGCAATGCTGGGTAGATACAAGAGATGCTTCTTGCTGCTGCTGGTTACTGAGGGTGCTTTTGCTTGTGGTATCAACAGTTTTAAGCCGGGGGAGAGGTCACTTCCCTGCATCCCCCTTCTCACCAACTCTGCTGCCAGCCACATCTCATCGGGGTCTGCTTGATGTTGCTGTAAGGCTGCTCTGGATCCAGCCCCCTCTCGTTTGCTGTGGTACAGCTCCCTTTGCCCCAGCACAGCGGCCTCCCTGGGGCCCGTGGGCCCTCACCGACATGGCTGGGTGGTCACAATCGGGCAGGAGAGAGACTTCTGGGGGGTACGCAGCGTGCGCAGCCCACGTCTTGAATCGGGAGGCTGTGGGAAACATTGCCTTTCCGCAGGTGCGCATCTTTCTTCCCTGCCTTAACACAAATTCCTTGACTCTTCAGACTTCAGTGTGTCAAGTCACAACTGCTTTGAAGTGTGATTTATTCCAGTCAAATCTATCTGACAAGGGGCTTCCTCCTCGGAGCCAAGCTGCCAGGCCTTGCCCAGGTGAGCTCGAACTCTAAATATTCAAACTTGTGATCAGGCTGTTGCAAAAGCATGTTGTGTCCTGACAAGTCTTATCATGTGTCAGAGATGAGCAGAGAAATGTCTTCTGGCCAGAACTTGCACAGCTTCCCCCACAGATCTACAGCCCTAATTACTCACTTGGAAAATGGAATCAAATCTTTGGATCATGCAAACTTTCTCCCTCATAGCATGGGAGTCTGGTGTCCAAGAACAGAACAAGCGAGGCTTCCATCTGCTTTTGTCAGTGACTCGTCGCCATCACCCAGAGAACCACCAAGCTCAGTGAAACCTTATTACTTTGGATTTTTACAGGGAAAATGGCCAAGTTACTTAAACACTGAGAAACTTGACTGTAAATCACTTTCCTCGTGCTGAAGAGGCCTGTGAGCTCCGTAACCTACTTGAATGTCCTGCTTGTAGCCAGGCAGTTCCAGTCACCATTTTCAATTTAGGTTCAGTCTGTTTTCCTTCAGTCACGGTTGCACTGAAGTTCATCATTTGACTTCTGGAATGAGCCTTAACACTGCTGCCATTCAGCTGACACAGCAGGAAGGATAACATCCCTTCTGAGTAACTTATTTTTAATGCTTGGGACTGAGTAGACAATACCATTATTTTCAGGAAAGGAAGTTATCTTTCTTCTAGGAGAAAAAACGATAATGGGGGCTAGGTTAAAAGTCTGACGCATTTCTTAAACTTCAGAGGTCACGTAAGACTATTCAAAAGCACAAATTTTATAAGGTTTCTAGGCTTTTCAGCACTATAAATACGACAATAGCTTGTACTCAGATCTTATTATAATGAGGAAGTAAAAAATGTTTTGCTGCTACAGTAGCAGAAAAGGTTTTAGCCCAACGAGGAGGGAACTTCCACTGCTCACAGAAGTGAAAATAAGTGCTGGGGTGCAGGGCTGGGGAAACGGTACCCAGTACCCTGTTCTGTACCAAAGACACGTTTGGCCGTTACTCATGTCAGCAGTCTCCTCTCTGGTGTGAGTTATGGAACGCTTCTGCAGAAACCTTAATTTTATTTAAATGCAAGCTGAATTCAACATTTGCTGCACATTTAATGTGATTCACTTAGAATTTCCCAGGAAATGCAGAAGTTGAATGCACAGTTGTGCACACTATTCAATAAAGCAAAAACCAAAATGTATCATAAATAACTATTTATTACCTTTATTAAACTCAAGACATGGCAATATTCAAAATACAAAGTGAATTCTCTTTTATTCAATACTGTACACGATGCAGAAATATCAGTGCATTTCTATAGCATGTATTTCACCTTCATTTAGTTTGTACTAAAACAAATAAAAAGTAAGCTTTAAAATAGCTCAAACATCTCATTCAGCAGTTTAAACTGTAAACAGCTTGTTTATTTCTGTTGGGAGGAACACCCTCGGGTTCTGTACCTCCATTAATGAGCACCCTTTTTCTTGTGCTTATCTGTAAGAGGATAAATGTAATCAAAGTGAGCATGACAAACTGCTAATGCACAAATGTGGCACCTCAATGAACTTTAGCAGGTTGCTGGGGCACAATGAGGAAAAATTAAACAGCAAGAAGCAGCATCTGAAGCAGCGAGAGATGGGACTGACACTGTTCACAAATGGAATCATGTTTTTTCCTCATAACCCCTTCCTCCCCTAAAATACTGAATAGAAATCAGAACACAAGACCCGCTTGTGCTGCGTTTCTGTATTTAATACAGTCAGAATTTCAGACTCTAGGTGAGCATGTAGTTGTTACTGTCTATTTAATAGCGCTCTATAGCTGCTTGTATCTTGTGCCACTTTCAGGACGCTTTCACATGTTTCTAGGATCCAGCAGGCAAAGAGCAGCAGCAGAGGCTTAGCAATAGCTGGTCCGGGTCTCTCCTAGGAAAAACGGCAAAATTGTGCCAAGTGTGTCTAGCAACTGAAAGAATCCACAAAACTGAACTCATTTTAAGAGTCTATTAGTGTCAAATTAAGCTGTAAAACAGATTCATCTTTCGAAATGCACTTCCAAAAAGCTTGCCAAGTCTTGAAGTGGATATCAGATCTTGCAGTTACCTTCTTACCGGGTTGGCATATCCTAGTCAAGAGGATGGAGTCTGCTCTCAGCAGAGTTACGGTGTGAAAGGAATTTTGGAAATGCCTGATACAAAAACTACTGCATTTTCTGCTCTGTTGTCAGCTTTATAAGTGACTTGTAAGCAAAGCTAGATTTTATTTTCTTTATAATGTGACTACCACGTATGTTCATCTAGGTAGCATGTAACTGGCCAACTGTGACTACTCTCTCTCCATATCTTTCTATGGAATTTCTGTAGGTTTTCAGCTATACATACCAAGACAAAAAAACAGTCTTGGGAAACATATCAGAGATATGCAGCATAAGAGGACTTCACCATCCACTTTCCAATTCTTAGAGGACAAACTGGTCCTTCATGATCTGAGAATTTTAAGAACTTTGTAACATGACGAAGTTCAGCTCTATCCTGAACAACTGAGCTGAGATGGTGCTCCCAGAGACTATGGGGAAACAACGTAAGATAGGTGTTTTCGTTTTGGATGACCAGCTATGTCCACTCTAGGTTTTGAGTCCAGTTTTGTGGGGGCTGAAGTAGCTGTGCAGTCACCAGACCAGGACTGAACCTCTGTGTTAGAGCTGCTTTCTTCTGCTTCTCTGAAGAACTTCTCATACTTATCCAAATATGGAGGCCTTTCAGGCAGCAGGTAGTAGTGTGTTGAACTGGCCTTCTTACCATTTTCAATAATTGGAAGAATGCAAGGAACCCTGTTGTAAGATCCTTCACTGTTTTGTCTTTGTAGAGCTTTGCTGCTGACGTACTTCGGATCAGGTGCAAAGCTCTGGGTGGGGGGCATAACCCCATTGAGGTATGACGGCAGGCTTTTGGGACTTGGCGTGCGGGAATTGCTGCATGACAGAGGTTCTCTTGGGGGCACTTTCGGAGGCCTGTCTTCATCGCTGTATGCGCTAGAAGCAACTTCTGCTGACCACCTTCTGTAATCTGGTTTGAGAGCCCGTGGAGGTATGGGAACCCTTGGTGGAATCTCTGGTTTATCTTCATCAGAGTTTGGAGAAGACCTGTTTAAGTGTCCAGATAGTCTCACTACTGGTTTATTAAGAGATCCAGCTGGCCCGGAATGGGACCTCCGCAAACGTCGATGCAGCTGCTGTGGAGGAGGATAAATACCGGATACGTATCCATTTAGGCTTTGTGTAGGGTTGGAATCTTCTGGTTTTGGTCCCGCTGGAGTATCAAAGTACGCATAGTTGATTTGCCCACAGCCCCTAAAGCTACGCCGGCTTGGAGCACTAGATTTAAAAGGAGGAAGTTCCCGGTCTTCTAACAGAAAGTCAGTATCTGAGCTAGTCAGGAATTCCACCTCTTTGTCAACCTCATCTGGAGTAGGGTCTATAGAACTAGGCAGAGGGGGTAGTGGCCTGGAGCTACGGTCATTGGAAGATGCAGACAGAAATTGAATTGGCCCATTTTTTATTGGCATGTGAGGAGGTGTTTCTTCAGAAACACAGCCCATGGTTAATGACAGTTTACTAAAGCCAGGAACGAGATGGTCTTCATATCTTGAAATCAGCTGTTCACTTTTGGGACTTGGAGGAGGTGGACTGGATTTCTGAGGTGGGACTTGGATGCAACTTTCAGCAAAGCTGTGGTCATTCATGGAAGCGTGGTTGGAAGAGTGCCCTAGAAAGGGGAGAAAAAAATCTTAGAAACACTTTTCTAAGTAACATGCTAGTGCATGGCTTTGCGTCTGCATGTTTAACTATTTAATTCCTTCTAATGCAACAATAAGTAATGTCTGCTTCCTGACTCCAGTAGCAAAACATAGCTATTATAGATCTTTTCTGGTTGCGGATTTATACATTTAGTTAAGAGAGCAGCTGAGTACCTTACTGGTTTAGGCCAGCGCTCCAGTTAAATCGGGTACTTCAAGAGACCCCAAGCATAAGCACAGAACAGAGATGTAGCTACAAAGATCCCAGCAGAGGTCTGTAACATAAGAAGTGACATTTTACTAAATAGCTTTTCTGTCAGATGGTAATGGCAACTCGGAGGCCTTCTAAGTACAAGGAAAAGGGGTTTCTGTTTGTCTTAACTTGATCAAGTGATGTAAAATGTTTTGGTCGTTGCTGGGCTGGAGGAGCAGTATTTTCTTGCCATGTCTGCATTCCGTCGCCAGAGGGCAGCCTCACATCCAGACAGATTTCATGTCTTGGTGGAGGCTCCAGGATTGTTCTATCGAGACAAATCCATTACACTATGTGAATACGTATGTGTTAGTCTTTATACGTACCAATGGATCGTAAGTGTTGCTCTGTTGATGGATTCAAGTTATATGCCACTGCTATAGGATCCACATTAAAGAAAGTACTAAAAAAAAAAAAAAGAAAGCCTTTGCTGTAAACAAACCATAGGTCAGTACTGCCACAAGTATTCTTAATGCATACATACGTGAAGATGCGATAGACCAAATTTTAGCCACACTCACTTTTCAAATCCACTGTGGCTACCCCAGCAGGTTTTCAGACTCCCCATGCCTTGACCAGTGTGAAGAAACCCAGTTTTCAGTGGGACTCTCATCTCCTGAGCAGCAACTCCCGCAGTCGACATTGTGCGCTGCTCTCTGGGGATGTCTCTAGAAGTTCACAGCCCTTGACGGGTTTCCTGCAGTTCTCATTCCCTTCAGAAGAGAGAAGGACATAAATATCAGAAATGCAAACTTGATGAGTTCATCTCTCATGTGAAATTTCACTACTTTTCAGGAATTGAATAGCTCTGTAGAAAGGCCTTCTGTCCTAATACTTGCCAATAGGAAAACTTTACCAAACTTGTTATTTTGTGTCTAACTGTAGAATTAAGGTACAAAGTAGGTAGGTTCTCCTATAGAATTAAACTGTAGAAAAAAGAAAAATCTATTAAAACTAGTAAAATCTAGTACATGTAGTAAAACTATTGATATATGACAACTGTGCATCAGCAAGTTCGGTTCTTGTACGTATGTTGCCTGAAGAACTGTTTGTTTTCCAGAACACGCTCTTTAACTTTCTAGTAGCAATCTATCTTTAGTTAAACTCATTAGCAAAAAGATACAAGGTTTCCAGTGTAGCCAATGTTTAACAGCAGTTTGTTTTCAAGTGTTACCTTCAATAGCCTAACAAACGGCTTTTTCTCCAATAAACGGAATTACTGACTAAAATAAAAATTGCCAAACTTCTTTTATAAGGTGGTCACTGTTATTAACAAATAAGCATTAAGATACTTTTAATCAGCCTTAAGTCTTCTAGCTTCTAGAAATCTAGTGGTTAGAAGTAATCTCATCGTAAACTGTCCTGCTGTATTCAGAGTTATTTTGAATGTGTGAACAATGCTTTATCTGGCCCATTTACAACAGAAAAAATGTGTTGGCAATTGCTTTATATTGAATAAGTAATCGCAGTTTATGGAACAAGTTGACTCACAGGGCTTTGTTTAGGAAATTCAGAATGGATTATCGGGGAACAGTGTAAAAGTAGTCAGCATTCTGAAGGCAGGAGAAATTAAGTCCAAGACTATAAGCAAAGATGTTCTCTGGGTCTGTGCTTCATCCTTACAAGTATCCTAAATCCAGCAAGTACAGTATGGCGTTACATGGCTGCTAACGAACAAACGTCACACCAAAGAGAGTTTAGTTTGTATCTCTATTGAGAATCAAGAATATGATCCATTTCCTGACATGAACTTCCTTCTTCCTCCTCTCTGAAAGAAAAAAAACCCACCTAAAGAAAAGTCAACCAACAGTTGAGGGCCAGGGCAAGTCAAGAAAACACCTTCACAGTACAGTACTGCAAGAAAATGGGGTACAGAAACAAGTAATAGCTTATGGTAAGTCCGTTTAAAAACGGGCACTCTATGCAGATGTGTAATTTTCCTTCAAGAGGAAAGATCTGTTACACTTATTTGCAACAGGAGGGATGGGCAGACTCCTAAGCAGGACTGTAAACCAGGTGCCCTAGGATTAATCTGCAGTCTAACACCACCATGCCTTTTACAAACAATCGTTTGAGAAAGAACTCTGCTGTGCCTTCCCAAATTTGAATCGAGTCCAGTATTGATCATCCAAGCAAACAGTGTATGTAGCTTCTGACTGTGTGTACATCTGTAATGTGCAAGACCTAATCCCGTTCTCTTCAAGGGTGTGATGGTTTTCTTCATGATGACTACCAGTGATCACCCTTGTGTCAAAAGAAGTGGGACTTTTTTATTCCCTTCTAGACACCCAGTGTATTTTAGCTGGGCATTGAAGAAGAACTGTAGACAGGAGGCTATTAGCTTTAATGGAAGTGAACACGGGCCAAAGCAGTGTTCTGTCTGCTGCAGCAGAGTCCTACTTACTGACTTCAGCCCTCCTGATTTTCGTCGTGACTATGCTCTTCCTTTTCAGACAATCTCCTTAAAAGCTAGCTTAGCCCTGGACATTTTTGCACTACTCAGTCAAGTTGGAGCCTTCCCAGTAATGGGAATTGCAGATTTTCGTAGTAAAATTAAATATAAACATACAGCCTCAGGAAGCAATAATGTAGTTCTGATTAGGAAGCGAGTTCAAAATTGTAGTAGTCCTGTAACAGCACTTCTTCCTTCCAGCTCTGTAAAGGCAAGCAGAAGCATTGTCTATGGAGGTGCAGAAGACTGAAGAAACTCCTTTGTCAAAAAGACTGAAGCAGTACAAGTAAGTATAGCACCAATTCTAAAATGACTTCCTATCATGTTAACACAATTCGCAAGTAAAACATCCACCATGTCAGCTCACACTGTATTGAGCAGTGATGTTTGTGTGCCTTAGAGATCCTATCCTATAAGCAACGAATCTGCAAAGGAAATGAAGGAGAATGGATCTGTGCACTTCAGGCTAATGCCTACGAAAG